CAGTCCAACAGATAGTAACCCATCACTTCTTGTATTGTTTATTACCATTTCGTTACGAACACAATGTAGTGACCCCATGACCTTCTCATTTATTGTTTATTGTTATTACCATTTTGTTATGAACAGAATTTAGCCTTTGATTATTAGCCTAAATAATAATTTTGGCGTATGGTCAAAACTTAAGCCTTACACGGTTTTTTAACCTGATGTAAAAGATTGTCTTGGCAAGATATTCTTGGTTACCATAAAGTTTTGGATAAATATTTATATCTATATCACCCTTCTACTGCTATTACCATGCATGCAATTCTCTTTATCTGTCGTAATGGATTGTTCATGTTAACATGTTGGAACATTATTAGTCCAATGAATTCCCAGATTATATCATGACATCCATGTTTCCTGAGACAGGCATCATTTAAACTTTCATGGTGGTGCAAAGGTGACCAAAGTGACCAGCACAAGCATGACATTGTCTCTTTTGAAAGAGGAAACATTACAACTGCAGAGCGCAGCAGTAAACAAGTATACCTGTCCTGTCTATGCATGTTACTTTTGTTTTCCCACTACTTTTGTATAATTGGGGTAGATGCTATTATTCATGTTTTTGACAAAGGTTTGCATATTTCTGATTGCCTAACTGTTGGGTTCAGTTTACTGGTGGGTCCCATCTTGTCTATTTAGAAACTCATTTTTGTTTCAGATTTCTTTGAAGTGGGAATCTCAGCCACAAACTGTGATTATATTGACCAAACCAAATTCAACTTCTGTTCGAATTCTGTGTGCAGAGATGGTCAGGTATGGATTTTAAGAAATCCTTAGTTTGTCACTTCTCAAAGCAGATTTTATGTTTCTGCATGAGTTGCTTTTCCTATCAAGCTCTGTTACCTCAAGACATCATATGGTTCAAGAAATGCCTTATAGATATATCTTATGTACCACATTGTTTCATTATTGCAATTACTAAAATTGGTTTGCTCTGTGCTTTTTAATGGCTAGGTCGTGTCTTTCAAAATGATTTTGCTTTCTGTAGTAAAAAGAAAAAGACGTTGCTTTTCCTTGTACTTCATCTTTCCTTTCAGTACAAGCTTTTTTCTTATCAAAAGGAAAACTGATGCTGCTGAACAAGGGGGTGGGGGAACAGTTATGTGTGACATTAAGGTAGGCTGGGTAAAAGTAGATTTTGTATGAGAAGGATTTCCACTGAAGAAAAGTATACAAATATGAATTTATTTGCAATTGTCTCTCATATAGTTATTTAAAATAGCCCTGTCACACATGAAAGAAAGAGCCTGACACAATACGTATCTACTTTCTAAAAGTGACTGTCATTCTTGTTAAGTCCCTCATGCCAAAATTCAGTTAAGGACCTGCCTAACCTTTGCATTTTTGCATGCCTCTGTAACTTTATAGTGGATGTTCGCAAATGTTATTCCTTTCCTCAGTATTTGTTTTCTATTTCCAGATGGTTGAGAGAGCAGAAGAAGTTAGATATTTATGTGGAACCGCACGTGAGAGCTGAACTTCTAACAGAGTCATCTTACTACAACTTCGTCCATACATGGAAAGATGGTAAGAACCACAAAAGATTGCTTCTTTTCTATTATCTATTGGAAGTGACTTCTGTTTTAGAATACATGAAACAAATTCCGAGACTTACTTTCCATGATGCTTTTTACAAAAGATCCTTGTAAAATCTTTGACATACTTTTTTTTGCTACTTGCAGATTCTTATATATGTACTTTTTTCATTGTTATTTTTTTCGGCTAAATGAGAAACAAATGTCGTATTAATAGTAAAGAGAGAGTACAAAGTAAGGAAAAGACCAGTAGTCTATCCTTAAGCTAACATAACACTGCTAAAGATAACAATACAACGCATGTCAAGGAAGAAACTACAAGATTGTGGATGAAAGAACCTTCGCATTAGGGAAACAATAAAGTCTAGGAAAGCAGAGCATGAAAGGAACATTACTCCATCACCTCTTCCCAAAGTCTAGTCCTTTCACTATTACCAAGAATGAAACTGGTGTGGGAGAAAAAGTCATTAAAGTTTTACAGAATAGCCAACTAGGGTGCTTGGAAGTCATCCTATTGGACTCTAAACAATCCCTCTCGTTTTTGTGTCTCTAATTGATTTTGTCATGTTGGTCAGAGTTATGTATCTGTAACTGCACGGCCACAAATCAAGTGAAATGATTTATGCATGCATATTTTCTTCCATTTAATTTCTGACCATGGGCTTACGTGTAAAATTGTTTGCATAGTCAATAATCTCAAGTTGTTGCGACTTGTTATTTAATAAATAGCTATGATTTATATAATGATTTACTTGATAATTATGCTCATGATTTTGCTATTTACTGTTTAGCATTTCATTTTTTGCTTGACAGAGACCGAAATAATGCTCCTGCACACAAAAGTTGACCTTGTGGTAACTCTTGGTGGAGATGGAACTGTCCTCTGGGTATGTGCATATACTTTTAAGCTTTAACTTGCATTACTTCAGATTGTTTTAGTACATTAAAGTATTTGGGTTGAGGGAATATGAAGTGATTCTATGATATACTTTTAATTTGCAGGCAGCATCTATGTTCAAAGGACCAGTTCCTCCTGTTGTGCCGTTTTCTTTAGGGTCTCTGGGATTTATGACCCCTTTTCGTATCCTCTTATCATTTGTTTTAAAAGAGCTCCTTTCAACAACAACAAAAAAAAAAACACCAGAAACGTTCTATATTTAGTCTATATGTTGACTTGTCTTTTATAGGATATCTTATTGGTAACTTGTTACTGTTCCTGTGTCTCATTCAGACGTGATCTTTAACATGCTTCAGACAGTGAACGTTACCGAGAATATCTTGATTCAATTTTAAAAGGTCCCATTAGTATCACATTGCGACACCGCTTGCAGTGCCATGTTATTAGAGAAGCAGCCAAAAATGAGTATGAAACTGAAGGACCGATACTTGTATTAAATGAGGTTACAATTGACCGTGGGATATCATCATACCTTACAAATTTGGAATGCTATTGTGACAATTCTTTTGTCACATGTGTCCAAGGAGATGGTTTAATATTATCAACAACATCTGGCAGTACTGCCTATTCATTAGCGGCCGGAGGATCAATGGTTCATCCCCAGGTTTGTTTTTATACTATAATCCATTAGTGCCTCCTGTTCACAGCCACATGAGATATTTGGTATTTCTGTACTCTATAGTGCCTCTTGCTTGGTGAATTGATAGATAAGTTGACTAACATCTGGTTCTAATAATCTTGACATTATTGCCTGTGCTGGAGACCCCACTTAGGCAACTCTGATACAGAGCCACCTGGAGCAATTTTTTATTTTTTATTTTTCAAAAATTTGTTTTAATTTTTTACTACTGCTTTAATGTTATGCCTAAGAAGAAGAAAATGTATTAAAACAGTGAGAGAAAACCTTAAGTTCATAGAAAAATAATCATTTTTATATAGGGACATCGTGAATTTGAATCCTATAAAATCAAGGCCACGTTCACTTCCGAAAACCATTTGCCACTGTTCTTTTTAATCCTTACGGACATTACCAACTTTGTAATGTAATTTACTTGCTCTATTCACACTTGGACTGTCCTGTGTTTGCATGGAGTCTTGGAAAGTATATTTGTTTTTTTGCTAATATGTTCAATTTTACTCTGAAACAACACAAAACAGATGTGAAGTACAAAGTAGATGACTAGTATAAAAACAGAGATGATCTTTGAATGATTATCTAAAACATAGACGGTTTGGATTAGTGAAATACAATACGGAGTGGGCCCTACAAAGGTGTCCCTCAAAGGAAGCTCTCTGTATATATATTTCTTTGTATGAATTAATTATTTCAAAATTACTAAACCTTAGACTAAATAACTATGTATACTAGTGATATCAAAATATGTTTAAGAGAAGAATCTTATGCTAAAAGAGATCAGAAAATTAACATCTTGAAGGAGGAACTTGCAATGAATCTGACAATCTTATTCCTAGGATATTCAAAATAATCTCACAAAAAGGTACTCTGGTTGATCTTATCCTAAATAAGAGAAAGCAATAAATCTATTAAAACTGTTATTACCTGTAGCTGTTTCATGTTTTGCAACTATAAAATTGTTATTATGATTTGGTCTTTATAATTTCAGGTTCCTGGAATTCTGTTTACACCTATTTGTCCACATTCCCTATCATTTCGGCCTCTGATATTGCCTGAGCATGTGACGCTGCGAGTACAAGTACCTTTCAACAGCAGGAGCCATGCATGGGCGTCGTTTGATGGCAAGGATAGGAAACGGTTGGCAGCTGGTGATGCACTTGTGTGCAGCATGGCACCTTGGCCTGTCCCAACTGCCTGTCAAGTTGATTCTACTAGTGACTTCCTGAACAGCATTCATGACGGCCTCCACTGGAATCTTCGAAAGACTCAGTCTTTTGATGGCCCTCGGGATACATAGTGCATAGTTCTTCTTTTGTATATTAGTTCTCTAGTTGGCAGATCTCGTTAGAATCTAAATATAACATGCGTTTTTAAGAGGGGAAAAAAGGGGGGAGTTGGGTGGCTGTAGAAAGTGAAAAGAAACTTTAAAATTCCTATAATTATGTATTTCCCCTCAAACGAGGAGATTATATGTTTTCTCCTCCTAGAATAAGGTCAAGGCTTGAAGCAGAGCACTTGTTAAATGGATGTCGAAAGATCAATGATATTGCTTTTGTGTTGGGAACTTGTAAACTGGATCATAATTACTGATCGGATATATGCAAAAAATTTAGAAATCGCATTTCACTATAAATTCATATTTGATTTGATTTTTTATTTTTGGTTTTTACAAACGAAATGATAATTACAAAATACTTTTACAATAGGTCAATATACAACAAATACGCTCACAGCAAGCTTACATTACCATTAACTAGGAATAAATTGAACACATGGAGACCTCCTCCAAACAAATGGAGTCGAACTTGGGATTTCCTCTAACTAAATGGAGAAAAATGTGATCAAGTTAGAGAAAAATTTGAATTTGATCAACATGGTCTGGTCTAATCATCTGTTAATCTTTTTCAACTTCTATTTTTTTAATATTGGGGTGGCCAACTTTCTAATAGACGCATGTATACCTAAACTTTACCTAATTACAAAGACTTCTACAACAATTATTTTACAAAACTTCTATTTTTTTTAAATAATGGGGTGGCCAACTTTCTATTAGACGCATGTATACCTAAACTTTAGCCTAATTACAAAGACTTCTACAACAACAATTATTTTACAAACTATGTAGGTCATCGCCCTCTAGCGTTTACTAGAATTTTTTAAGCACCTCTTCTTTGAGAGAGCTCTGGTTGGATTGTTATTGGGAATGTTTTTCTTTCTTCCTTTTATATAGTTAATCACTTTGCCTTCATCCTTCAAAATGTGTTCTCTACTGTCCATCAACTCTAGCTCATCTCAACCAAAACTAGCTTTATGCAACTCTTTTCTAGCTATTTCAGCACTAATCCTACTATCTTTTTATATATTTTTCTTTGACAAATTACACAATTACCAACCTTCAAATCTCTTGGAAGCCTTCAAGCAAAGCTGTCCGGCAGCTAATACAAGTTGCCCTAGTCCCCCTACCTCCTACCAATCTAAACCACATTGTGGTCGGAATTGTTGGCTCCATGAACACATGGAAGAAGAAGAAAGCACACACAGAAGCATGGTGGAAACCTAACGTTACCTCTTTTTAGATCGAGCTCCTACGCTGGAATTTCTACCATGGCCTTCATCTGCTCCTCCTTTTCGAGTCAGTGAGGACATCACAGGATTCGAAGTGTACCCAAAAATTGTGAGGCCAAACCAAGTACGAATAATACGTACAATTTTGGAGACATTCAGAGAGGGTGACAAAGATGTGAGATGGTATGTAATGGCGGATACCATCCTTTTTGTTGATAACTTAGTTGAGGTTCTTGCAAAGTATGACCACACTGAGTACTATTACATTGGTTCCAGTTCGGAATGTATTAAGTCTAACTTCGATTTTTCCTTCGATATGGCGTTTGGCGGCGGCGGTTATGCTTTGAGCTACCCGTTGGTGGCAACATTGGCAACAAAGTTGGATGAGTGTATTGAGAGATACCCATACTTGCGGGTCAGTGATTTTATGTTACATTCATGTTTGGCTGATTTAGGAGTCGCTCTAACTCAAGAAAAGGGGTTTCACCAGGTAATTAATCACCTCTTACCCGTCAAAAACTAATAAGTAGTCGTATTTTGTCGCAAATTAATAAGTAATCTTCTTGCTGTATTGAGAGAACATAAAACATTAAGATATTAATTAACAACCTAGAATTAATAAGTAGTTGTAGTTTAAAACACATGTTCTGAGTCCATTTTTGTGTTTGTAATTACAGATCGATCTCCGTGGTGACATATCAGGTCTTCTATCATCTCATCCACAATCTCCTTGTTAGAAAACTCAGACTATGATCTGATTTATTTGGATTATTGGTAGAAGGAGCTCAGGTGAGAAGAGAAAAGAGAGAGAGAGCTTGGAGAGGAAGATGAGAAAAATTGGGTCTATTCTCTCACTTAGTCATGCACAAGCTGTGCAGTACAATAACCGTTTGGGAATAGTATATTCCCTGATTACATCATTCAAATCTAACCATCAATTTAACTATCCTATGAGATAGCAACACTTGGCATAATTTGATACAACTAAGAACACGTCTTAGCTATCCATTGGACTGTGATCCAATGGTTCTTACTTAAGTCAATACAAATACTCAGCTAATACACTTATACTTTAACACTCCTTTCTAAGTGTTTAGCTGAAATGACTCCAAGCTTGCTCCTTAGATATTCAAACTGATCTCTTGTCAGTGCCTTAGTAAAGATATCTGCATTCTGCTCTCCAGTTCTGCAGTATAACAAATCAATCTCACCATTTTGCAAAGCATCCCGAATGAAATGAAATCTTCTGTTTATATGCCTTGTCTTGTGATGATATACAAGATTCTTTGTTATTGCTATTGTTGAAGTGTTATCACAGAAAATTTGGGTAGCTTCAACTTGTTCCTCACCAAAATCAGATAGAACAAACCTCAGCTAGACTACTTGTGCTGTAGCTTCAGCTGCACTAATATGTTCCGCCTCTGCTGTGGATAGAGCTACACTGCTTTGCTTGACTGATGCCCAAGAGAAAACACCTTATCCAAGATGAAAAGTGTGGGAACCGAATTAAATCATACCCTAGGTCAAATAATTCCTTCCATTTGGGGATTGTTTGACCTAATTGGGAATTACTCAACCTAATTGGGAGTTACTCAATTTAATTGAGGATTACCTAATTAAATTGAGAATTGATTTGATTTCTACCCCAATTTCCAATTAAATGAAGAGTTACCTAATTAAATTAGGATTTGATTTGATACCTACCACAATTAGGGATTTGATTTACCCTAATAAATCAAATTCCTAATTAAGCAAATCAATTCCAAATCGGGGAGGAATAATTCCTTTCCATCTACGGAATTATTCCTCTGAAACCCTAGCCTCCGGGACCACTATAAAAGGATGGCCACACACAAATGTGAAGGTACATCTAAATTCCTACTGAAACTCTGCAAAAATCATTTCTCCAAAACCCTAGCCACCATATTCTTTCTCTCTTTGACACAAGGCTCCGGCCACCACACACGGCTCTGGTCACCCCGTTTTCCTTGAAATACCCTACCTAACTTAGGCATCGGAGGGCCTTTGGCCAACACCCCCCTGGTGTGGTCCTTTTACCCCTATTTGTTTTTCAGGGAGAAAGAGAAGTGGAGAAGATGAAGGAATCTTAGGCGAATATTCTTGTGGGACGAAATTTGCTCCCACAAATTGGTGCTTTCATTGAGAGTACGAGATATATTCAAAGCGTGCTCCAAATCCATCTTTCACACATTTTTTCAAACAACCATAGTTGATACAAGACGTACGAAGAGTAACGCGACCACAACGGGCCCATCTCATGGTTTCGTGGTGGAAACCTCAATGCAACCGCACGGAATCGTGGCTGCCAATGAATTGCAGTCGTCTTCTAGTGCTTTGCAGCCACCTTCAGCTGCTGGAATTCCAGAACAGCCGCCACATGACCCCGGGACCTCCACAGCCTTGCAGTCGCCAGTGCCGATTGCCGAAGCTGATCTGCCTCTCTGTCCTGCCATCGGAACACAGTAGCAGCCACACCACTCAACTGAAGGATTTGCTGCATAGCCCCACGGCTACTCCGACGTCGTCCCAGTCTTGGAGCAGATCCATTCTCTCCCTCCTCTACTATCACACTTGACCAAGGTCTAAAATATCGGGAGTTTCGGAAATATCGATGGTCCAAAAACACGGATATATCGATGGAAATATCGAGAAAATATCGATATTGATGGAAATATCGAGAAAATATCGATATCGATGGAAATATTGAGAAAATATCGATATCGATAAAAATTGAATAAATATCACGGAAATTATGAGAAAAACTTGGAAATTTTTATTGAAACTTTAGAGGATGTTTACTTAGTCAATTGTCTATTACTTTATCACAAAACCACAAAAAATTGGAAGGAAATGCATGGCATGATGGGTTTGAGTGATTTAAGTTGATTATGTAGTGACCTGACAAACACTGTGACTTTAGAAAATATGTAGTAATTAGTGAAAGAAAATTAAACGCACCATAATTTTTTAGTTATAATAATTTACTTGAATATATTACACTTGATACATATGATAAAATATATCAGCTTAACCATAAAAACAAAGATAAAATGTATGAGTAACTTAGTACCACATAGAAAGAATTCCTATTAAAATTCAAACTTAGTATCACATATAATGAACAATATTAAAACTCGAAGTGAATAATAATAAAACTCCATAATATATAACAACAACAAAATACTACTCCATTATAAAATAATAAATAACATTAAATATATGCTTAAATTTATTCTTAGGGAATTTTTTTAATATGAAAATTTATCTTAGATAATATTAGCTTGCAGACATTTTTAAAGACCTTATAAATATTACAAGCTGAAGGTATTAACACAAACTCAGCCGCAGCTGAGTTGGATAAGGCGTTGTGGCTTTGATGAGAAAGGGATGGTTCGAATCCCTTTGTGCGCAATATGGAGAATTTTCAGCATTTTTCTGGTCTTTTTCGGTTTCATATCGCGATATCATCGATATTATCTATAATATCGCGATATATTGCCCAAATAAAGCATGAAAAATGTTGAAATTATCGTCCACGATATTATCGCGATAATATCGACGAAATTATCAATAAATTGACGATATATATATGGAAAAGTGCCAAAATATCGTTGCCCAAAAAAAAATGATATTTTCGCCGAAATATCGGCGAAAATATCGATTTTTCATACAAAGCACTTGACACATGCACCTGTGTACGCGCCTAATGGGTGCCCTAGCCGTGAGCGGTCGCGTGACGAGCATAACGATCGATGCCCACCAGCCAGCTTGAGGACCAACATGCGGCGACAAGCTGCAGAGGAATCCTCACAAGCTCAATCTCCTAATCTGCCCCACAGGTAGGGCACCTAAGGGGATCGACCCTTGGGAATCGAGGAAGAAGTTAGCCAGTCGCGCACGAGGCACCGAAGACGTCAGCCCGAGACTCCAACCCTGCGGGCAGAGGATGTCGAGAAGCTAGTAAATGACCAACTCCGAGGTCAGTTGACTTCTCGCCCTTTACCGACGAGGTGGAATGAGCTCCGCTGCCGAAGCGGTTTAAGGGGGACTTTGACCCCAAAAGCCATTTGAGGCAATTCAATCACGCCTTGATGTGCAAAGTGTTTGTGACGACTCTGCGATGAGCAGCTCAAGATTGGTTCCACACTCTACCGTCCGCGTCGATAAGCAACTTCAAGGAGTTCACCCTCATTTTCATGAAGGAGTACACCTCCTATAAGACTGTCAGAAAGCATGCGGACCACCTGTTCAACCTGCACAAGAAGCCAGATGAGTCTCTACGAGACTACCTGAGACGCTTTAAGGCTGAGAAGACTAACATCATAGGATGCAATGACCAAGTTGCATCCTCAACTTCAAGGAGTTGGCCATAACTCCAAGCCAAACCTTGGCGGAAGTGTTCTCAACGGCAGAGCACTACGCACTTTGGGACGATGATCGTATCGCTACGAAGAAAGACAACAAGCAAGTTGACCACCCGACGAAGCAGGCAAGCCAAAAATGCAACAAGTTCGAGTAAAAAGCCCGGGATAAGCGCAGATCGCGACCCCAAGAGGGAAGCTCAGAAACAAGGACCTTCACCGAGTTTGCTATCCCGATTCACTAGATCTTTGCACAAGTGAAGGACAAGCCGTGGGTGAGAAGGCCACCACCCATAAGGGGAGACCCCTTTAAGAGGGACACCAATAAGTAATGCGCATTCCACGAAGAGCAAGGTCATTACACCAACAACTGCAATGCCTGGAAAAGGCACTTGAAGGAGCTGGTCAGAGAAGGCCATTGCACATAATTCGTCGTAAAGAAGGCCATCCAGCAGATCGAGGATCGCGATGCAATTGCCAAGGAACCTCCCCAAAAGGTCATTCGAATCAACACCATTCTAGTTGATTCCCAGGAGTTCGAGCTGACCACCAATGAGCGCAAGAGAAAGATCGCGTAGGCGACTTATGTCTCTGAAGTCATAACAGGAGTACCAGTCATTGTGGATACACCTATTATCGGCTTCCAAAAGAAGGACTTGATCAGGCTTGACCTGCCACATAATGACGCCCTAGTCATCTGCATCCAAATTGAACAAGTTGTGATCGAGCGAGTTCATGTAGATGAGGGCAGCACAGCCAACATCCTGCAACTATCTATTATCCAACAGATGGGATTAGAGCCCAAGATTAGCAAACTTGCCAAATTGCTCACCAGCTTCAATGGGGCCACGTCAATCACTATTGAAACGAACTGTTGGAACGATCGACCTTGACGTCCACTCACCCCCAGTGGTCTGCTCGCAAACCTTCATGGTCATCGACGAGATCTCTTCTTACAACGGAATTTTAGGCTGACCGTGGATCAGCAAGATCGAGACCATCACATCTGCCTTACACCAGAAGTTCCGCTACCCCATCCTTGAGGGTGGGATCGAGCAGATCAACAGTGACCAAGCCATGGCAAGGAGATGCACAACCCAAGGGCTCAAGAAGAACAAACAGTTGCAGTTCACACCAGTAATGCAAGCTGACAATGAGGCAGGAAGCGCTCCTAGCAGACAAGCAAGCCTGAACGGGAATGGAGCTGCTACCTCTCAATAGCAATTAAGGAGTCAGGATCAAGGCGAGGGAATCAGCCCGGAAGACTCCCCTGAAAAAGGTTGGAAGTCTGAGGATGACGTCGAGTTAGTACCTCCTGATCTTGACCAGCTAGATAGA